CCCCCATCGCCCTGACCTGGCTGCTGGGGCCAAGCAACGCACCACCAGCAGCTTATTTAGGGAAGAGCTGGAGCCTCAGCCTCCCAGCGTGTGGCGGAAGAGTGTTTTTCTGTCCTCAAGGCCTTTGCATAGCTGCGGGGAGAGCCGTGCTTGCAACAGGGCCTCCGCCTCCAGCCCCTCGTTTTGGGCTGGACCAGGCTCCATCGCTCCCCCAGCCCCTTGCTGCCACCCCATGCACAGCAGAGCTGGGCTTCCTCGCCGGCCAGGGTGGCTGCTGCCTCTGCTGGAGTGGCAGAGGGAAAGTCCCTGTCCCAGTGCCTTTGTCCTGGCAGCCAGCGTCCCCAGGGTGCAGGCAGCCGCCCGGGGCAGGCAGGCCTAGTGCAGACGGGAAATGGGAGGCCCCGGTGAACGGAGGGGCTGGGGTCCTCCCCGACATCCCCCTGCCCTGGCAGCGCAGCAGTTCCTGCTCTTCCCAGCTGCTTCCCTGCCCTCGCGCCAGCGGAGGTGCCAGCTCTGGATAAGAGCCCAGAGGGGCTGCAGGCCCCAGCTCCGACCAGGAAGCAGACGCTCACGCTGCTGTGGGGTGCAATAACGGGCTGCAGCGTGCTGGGAGGGATGACACTGCCAGCCGGTGTGGTGGGGGCTGCCAGGGTGGGAGGGAGCACCCTGGCTTCAAGTGGCTGCCCCCGAGGTTGCATGCATTTTCAGCGCCAGGCTGGCCAGGGTGAGCTGCCCTGGGGGTCGGCAGTCCTGGCTGCCGAGCATCCTGCCAGGGTCTTCCCAGCTGGGGAAGGATGCTGCTCCCAGCTGGGCCTTGAGGCTGGCAGGGGCTGGAGGACCACAAGAAAACACTGGGGCAGCACGTAGCAGCTCTGTGCCTGCTGGCTTCACTGGAATGGAAATATCCCCCCCTGGTCCCCAAACCCCGAGCAGGGAGGGCGAAGGGCGATGGCTTTGCTGGGGGGTCTGTGCAGACGTTTCTGTGTGTGGGCAGTGGTTTGGGGCCCTCGGCACTGCTCAGTCAATCCGGCTGAGGGACCAGCCCTGCATTCCCACTGCATCGGAACCTGAAGAGCCCGGATACGTGGCCTGGCAGTGGCCCATGGGACTGGAAGGGAGGGGACTGATGCTCTTGTCCCGTGGCACAGCCATGGCTGCTCCCAGCATGCCGGGGCTTGATGCTGACAGCAGCTGCTGGGGGTCACGGGGTTTATTTTTAACAAGCTCCATGGGAAATTGCCTCCTGGGTTCCCAGCGCCGCGTCAGTCCCGATGTCCCACAGCAGGACAGTGGGGCTGTGCCTGCCCTGGCTGGCCTTTCCCCATGGATCCGGCTGCCTTCTGCTCCGCTTCAGCATGGGGGGGCCTGTGCATGGCCCCCTCGAAGCACTTGGGCCAGTAGCACGGATGCGGCTGTGGACCTGATCTGGAAGAGGGGAAGCAGCTCTGGGTGCCCATGCCAGGTCCTGGTGGGTGGCCTTGGGTGGGCTGAGCAGCACCCGTGAGATGTTCATGGGGGGTTGTGCGGGAGGGTCGTGGCCGTGCTGCCCACATACAGAGGGTTGGACTTTGATTTAGGACAGATCCTGCTCGTGGATTTGGCTCTGAGAGCCGCCCACCATACCCTAGTGCTGGGTAAGGGTGGGGAGGGCTGCAGGGGGGTCGGGGGGGATCCTTCCTCAGTGGGATGCTGGGACCCTCCCAATTAACACCTCCTGGGGGCCATAGGGGTGAGAGGGGAACCAGATCCTCTGCTGTCCCCCCCCCTGCTGCTGGAGGGGCTGGCGTGGGCAGGAGGGCTTGTCCCTGTGCTGGTGGCACGTGGGGGCAGGGCTGCAGGGAACCGAGCCTTGGTGGCTGCACGGACCACCGATGGGCATTCGTGCCACATGCCCCTGTCTCCTTGCCCCTCACGTGCCTGGAGGTCTCGGTGCCACCGTGGCAGGCCCTCCTCGCCCTCGCTGGGCG